TCTTGAGATTTTTCACGTATTGACTTAGCCATCTTTTTACATTTTGAATGAGTTATGCAAGGTCAAAATCTTCATCTGCTTTTGAGATACGGTTACTTATACCAATTACACTCAACTAGGCGTTTTGTAAAATGACTTTAATTTTTAGTTACGAAACTGAAAGCCGTTTTTACTTCTCTGCAAGGCCTACAGAGTTCTTTGGTTACCTTTAGTGCTTTCGCTGATACATTGAGTAAAAGGATATTTGACCTTTCTCAACTTTTGTCAGGTAGTTCTGATGAGTTACAGCAAGGCGTTACTGAAGATGAAAATTCTGCAGAAGAGATTGAAGGTTTTTAACTTCTGGTTTTTTATAAAATTGTATTTGCTAAATATCTACTTATTAAACTAATTCTTCAGCAACTCTTAATAATGAAATCGTATGCTTGCGAGAAATTCGCCAAGAAAAAGAAAACGTTTTGGTTGCTATTGAGCAAAGAATCATAGAGCAAAAGGTTGTCATAGTTTTCAACATTGTAATTTCAAGAAAACCGTTTGGTAAAGTCAGTTTTTTTGCTTTTGGACTATAGAAATTTGTTTCTAGAAGAAGAAGGAAGAGTTGTCGTCTCAAACAAACAATCTCGAAAGCCTGAAAACGACGGCAGCTGAGGATTATGAACGAGCTATGGGCAGTCTAAACCAAGTGCAAGAAAATTTGAGCGCAGCCAAAAAGCAATTAGAGGATCTTTCCAGTCAGGTATAGTATTAAAACTTCCCTATTACGCCTATTTGTCAATGTAACTTAAATGAAGGCATCCTGTAAAGTCTTTGTGCTTTTTTAATACGGCTTGAACTGGGAAGGTAATTTCTGATTGCACCAAATAATAACAGTTAGATAATCTCTGCATGGTCATTTCCCTGATTTTTTTAAAGCAAACCGTGGAAATTGAAAGAATAAATGGAAAACAACAAAGCTTAGAACGTTTGAAAGCTATGGTACAAAATATTTTGGGGAACATTACAGGTGAAGCTTTCTGGTTGCTTTTTTCTTTGATCATTTTTCTTGTACCCTAAATTTGCTCTTTATCTTTTTTCCTGCAAAATTGATGATTATAAGTGTTAGAACTTTTTGATGTATTTGAATGTGAGGAAATTTGGCGGGGTTTTTTGTTACTCAGAAGTTCATTTAGTGTATCCTTCTATGCAAGGATCTGGTTGGACGGAAAGCATGGATGTGAAATGTGGTTTACTCACTCAGGAACAGAAGCCCTGCATGCAAGGGGCCACAGCCCATGATCAAAATATGGTATTATATTTAAAAGCTTGGTTACTTTTCTTTTCTGTTTACTCTTAAGTTTTATTGTTTCAGGATAGTAGTACGTTGTCAACGATGGTTATGCTTCCCACGAAACAAGAAGAGGACCTCGGAAGAACGAGGAGCAATAACAAAAAAGTATATAATATTATTCAGTTTTAATTATGGTTTTTTTACGTTTTGAAAAAATGTAGTTTTTGTTTTTCCGATTATTTTGAGAAATGAAGAGTAAATTTTCAATTTCCAACATGACTACTCTATTTGATTATTATTTAACAAAAAATATTCTAATGATAGTGCATGCAAAATCTCCATTTTTTTATCTCTCACAACGCCCGTCTCTTTCGCTGATTAATCTTTTTTAACCTAATATTCATATTTTGCACGACATAAAACTGATTAGGTTTAAACAACCTGCGGTGATACTTTTTTTTTTATAATTTATGAGGAAAATCACAAATTCAAGGCATTAATTCACGTTTTTAAAGCCGTTTAAATTCCCTCAGCCACCACTTCGATTTCGCAGCCCAGTTGAAGATGAAAAAGACCAAACTTTTAGCGAGCGTATGGAAGATACAGATATTGAGATGAGTGCCTGGTCGCTTAATGCCACTCATGATATTTAAATGTGCTTTTGGAGTTGTTGTAAGTATAGCTACACTTACTAACCGTTTTAATAAAGTTAATCTTGTTCGTCAATTACTGCAAACTTCACGTAATTGTCTAATCTTCCCAGTTCAAATGCTACCTTTACCCCCTGTGAACTTTGTTTTATATTCAAATTTAAATTGTCCTTTTAATGATTTTATAGTTTTCCTTCTATTTTTTAATGTTTACATTTATGAGTCATTTACAAAGGTATTGTTGTGTGATAGCACTATGGACTTGATGTCTACTATTTAGTAAAAAAAATTGTTGCGCTCTCCTCTTTACGTCACAAGGTGTTTGAAGGCTTTGGTGTACAGCACAAGTAGAAGTAGCACCTTTGATCTTACATTTAGGGCACGGCTCGTAAAGCATCATCAATAAACAGGATCCGGAAAAGCACAGTTTTTGCAATAAGAAGACATTAATGGACTGAGACCCGTGATTCAAAGGCATCTAACGAGAAAGAGTTTTCCAGCCCGTTCAGTAAGACATCAGAGGTCTTGAGTTAAGGTTTGGAAACGGTTCCGTGCTATCCTATGGGTAGAATTCTACTTTTGAAGCAGTAACTTTTCTACTTTTGAAGCAGTAACCAGGCAGGCAGCAATTCAACGGCCTCATTCATTCGACGTAATAAACAGAAGAAACCCCATGTATGCGCAGAAATGTCATTACAGGACTGAAGTCTGCAGTTGGAGTTAAGCCTGCGAGATTTTGCCACAAGAGTAAGGCAGTCGTTAACTGGAAGGCTTTATACAGATTTTAGTAAGATCCCAAGAGGCAGCTGAATATTCCGTCCTTAATTGGGCCTGAGTGCTCAAGCGAAAGAAAAATGTAAGGTATACAGCTGTAATTCACAAATTGCTGACTGCATTTCAAAACGAAAAGTTTGCTTTTGTAGTGCTGGCAAAAGTCCTTGTTCAGTTAAACGGCCCAAAAGGCTTCAAAAGTTTTTTTAAGACAGAATTCCTTGTCAATGGAACTGTTATTGTTCCAGTTTGTTGCTGAATGCTATGAAAATTTTTTTTTTTTGCTCGTTGGGGTGTCTGAGAGAAGCAGGTTGCACATTGTTTTATTTCTGA